TTTAAGTTTGAATTTGGAATCATTCGCTTTTCATTGTCTTACTTTTCCACGAGTCATTGTCATGCGGTATAACCAATACTCTAATTATCTTCTCGACTACACGCCGAGGCTTGAGAGATAGCTTGATTCACCGGTTTGTTGTCAATTTGAAATGACAACCACACCAATTTCCCTTTCTTTCATTTTTTTTACCAAACCATATTGAACGCAATAGGTCATTAAATTAGAAATTAATCCTGCTTGGTTTGGACAGGAAAACAGAAAAAAATAAAAAGAAAAAAAAAGAAAGGTAATTATTAATTTGTATTTTGTTTCCTGAATTGACACGAATAGAAATCAAGAAAAAAACACGTATTCTGTGTATTCCCATTTATTGAGGCCCACCTCAGGATATTAGGCGGCCCACAAGGATCCTTAAGTTCCCTCCAATCCAATTTCCAATTTAACTGAGTCAACTCGTTTCCCCTATTTTCAAAGACGCTCTCGATAAACCCTAACTCGCATCCAGGCAGTTCGGCCAAATTTCTCCAAACTTTTAGCTGTATTTGGACCCAGGTGAGCGATTCGCCAATTATTGTGTCTTTGCGGTCTTTCTCGCATAAAAAAGTTTCGTGCTTCACATTGCGGGTTTCATTAAATCTCAAAAATTTGAAGAATGGAGGCTTGTTGAGGCGCATTAGAGTCACTCCACGTTTTCCCCTTCTTGCAATGCGGTTTTGTTGAGTGTTTGATGATTTATGGAGTATATTGGGTTTGAATTTGTACGTGACATGCTTTTATTGAATGTGATAATGGAAGTGAAGATCATAATGTGAATTGTGCGAGGTTGTTCTTTTAGCAATAGAAGGCTGCCTTTTGAAATGGAAATGCTGTGGGGTGGTTCTTCTGGTGTGTTTTTGGTGTCTGTTTAGGAAAGATTGCCCATTTAATGTTCTCGCAACGGAAATAATGAGTGGGATTCCCAAAGATATGTTTTTTGGATAAGGCGCAGATAGATCGAGGTTAACTGGAGGCAAAGATGGACGGATTATTATCTGATGGCTTAGTTCCTAAGCGGTCGTTGAGAAAAAAAGCAGGTAAGAAGAATTACAACGAGAACTTGAATGATGAACTGGTAGATTCGCACTTGGGTGGTGTGTCAAGGAAAAGGAAGAGGACAAGGGAGGATTTGGAGAAAGAGACTGAAACTGAGGCCATGATGGCTATCTCTCTTGGCTTCCCGATTGATGCGTTGCTTGAAGAGGAGATTCGGGCTGGAGTGGTGAGGCAGTTGGGTGGCAAAGAGCAAAATGACTACATCGTTGTAAGGAACCATATACTGGCTAAGTGGAGGAATAATGTACAGATGTGGTTGTCAAAAGATAGGATAAGAGAGACCGTCAGTAGTGAGTACGAGCACTTGATTTGTTCAGCCTATGATTTCCTTTCATACAATGGGTATATCAACTATGGGATCTTGCCTCCAATGCCTGAAGAAGTTGTTGAAGGGTCTGTTATAATTGTGGGTGCAGGACTTGCTGGGCTTGCAGCAGCGAAACAGCTGCTTTCGTTTGGTTTCAAGGTGCTTGTTCTAGAGGGTAGAAATAGGCCCGGGGGTAGAGTCTATACTCAAAAGATGGGTCAGAAGGGTGATTTTGCAGCTGTGGATCTAGGTGGCAGTGTGATTACAGGCATTCATGCTAATCCTCTTGGGGTTCTTGCTAGGCAACTCTCTATTCCTCTTCATAAGGTCAGAGATAAATGCCCTTTGTATAAACCTGATGGCACACCTGTCGATGAGAAAACCGATTCCAAGGTTGAGTTTATCTTTAACAGATTGCTGGACAAGGTCATGGAATTGAGACAAATAAAGCGTGGTTTTGCGCATGATATCTCTTTGGGCGCTGTCTTGGAGACACTGAGGCAATTGTATGGTGTGGCGAAAAGTAGAGAGGAAATGCAACTTCTTGATTGGCACTTTGCAAACTTGGAATATGCCAATGCTGGATGTCTTTCAAATTTGTCGGCAGCATACTGGGATCAGGATGATCCTTATGAAATGAGTGGGGATCATTGCTTTCTCGCCGGAGGGAATGGGAGATTGGTAAAAGCTTTGAGTGAAGGAGTTCCTATATTGTATAACAAGATTGTGAATACGATAAGATATAACAATGATGGGGTTGAGGTAATTGCTGGGGATCAAGTGTTCCAAGCAGATGCAGTCCTATGCACTGTACCGCTTGGTGTTTTGAAGAAACGAACCATAAAATTTGAGCCAGAATTACCTCCAAGGAAGCTTGAAGCAATTGAAAGGTTGGGTTTTGGATTATTAAATAAAGTGGCGATGGTTTTTCCTCATGTTTTCTGGGGAGAAGATCTGGACACATTTGGTTGTCTCAGTGAAGAGGGCCAAAACCGTGGAGAGTTCTTTCTGTTCTATAGTTATCACACAGTTTCAGGTGGTCCCGTACTTATTGCACTTGTGGCCGGAGAAGCTGCCCAAGCATTCGAATACATGGATCCATGCAGTTCACTCAGTCGTGTGTTGAGCATACTCAGAGGTACTTTAAGTATCTTCAAGGGCTTTTGACTTGACTAGCTTATTTTTATGCCACTGATTTTTTTAAAAGACAAGAATTGTAGGGCTTCTTTTCTTTTCAATCCGTTTTTCAGAATGTTCCATGTCCATTCTGTTGTTTTAGATTGTTTTTTGGGGACGATTCTTGTTTTAGAAGTTATTTTTGGTTCTTACAGGTATATATCATCCAAAAGGCATTGATGTGCCTGACCCCATACAATCAATATGTACAAGATGGGGAAGCGATTCCCTTTCTTATGGTTCATATTCCCATATAAGAGTGAACTCGTCTGGTATCGATTATGACATACTTGGAGAGAGCGTGAGGGACCGGCTTTTTTTCGCTGGGGAAGCCACAAGTAGGCAATACCCAGCCAGCATGCATGGTGCCTTCTTGAGTGGCTTGAAAGAAGCTTCACACATTTCTCGTGCTGCCAGGGATTGGGAAACCACTCCAGGAAAGTTTTTGCAGAGAAATATCGGGCCAAGCAGCGATTTGCTGGTGGATTTGTTCCTGAATCCTGATTTAGCATTTGGGAATTTCATGGTCATTTTCGATCCTTCAAATGATGACCCAAAATCAATGGCCATATTGAGAGTTAACTTTGACAGTAATAAGATCAGTTTGCCTGGCAATTTAGATAGCTTCCATGAGCACTCTACTAATGGACTGTCGATGCTCTACACAGTACTGACATGTGAAGAGGCTAAGGACCTGCAATTAATGAATGGGGGAGATGACAGCAGATTATCGTACTTGACTAAGACACTCTGTTTGAAGTTAATGGGGCTTAGTGCGGTGGTAAATTTTGCTAACTCCTTGATTAGCAGCATTGCCAGCGCCCGGAGAATTAGGAGCAAGAATCATCTTTCCTGTGGATATAAGAACAATGTACATACTTAGCTAGCCCTTGGTACCCTACCAATTTTTTACCTTACATAGATTTGGCAACGATTTCATTATCAAATTTAGGAGACACCAAAATTTATTGCAGTCTGAAGGACACTGATTAGGTCTGCTGAACAATTTTTTGCGTCTGATCAATGGCCGTTTTCGGAGAGGTAATCACCGAAGAACTGTCTGTGATGTGTTGTGGAGTAGCTCAAGCAATGTATTACTCACATTTGCAGAAGAGGAGGAGGAAAATTTTGCTGGACTCGCGGGGCACCCGTTGGTCCTGGTCAAGCTTCACAGTAGGTGCTTTTGTGCTTTTCTCCGGCCTTTTCGTCTCTGCAAAATGCGATTGTGTGTACACTCTTTTGGGATGTTGTTTGTAAAAGTGTCGATAGCTGATGCCGAAGAGACGGTTGATTTCTCACAATTTTGTGATTTGGCGAGAGAAATCTCCATTACAGAAGGCTCTTTCTTCATGACCTGTTAATGTCCATTGCATGTCTCTCTGTTTCTGCTGAATTGTGTGAACTTGCTAAATGATAGCTGTATTTAGGGATACTAGACTTCGATTGAAATGGCAGCAGCGTTTGTTTGTGAGTGGGTCTTTCTCTAAAGCATTCCTAAGAAGACACATTGCCTTTACTATATTCTATAACCGAAATGTTCTCGAGACACTTGTTAAATAATTAAACGGGAAAGTATTATAATTTTCAAATCATAATCTTTTTCTTATGGAATATGTAACTAGTCTTCTGAAAATCGAAGGTATCCTTATAAGGAAGATTTGATATGAGCTACGGCGGCATTCCTCGACATTTCCCTTATCATGTCGCGGTGCAATGCGATAAGTTGAGATTTACTAATTTAGAAAAATCCCTAAAAGCAATCGATTGGCAGAAATTTTTCTAATGATGCTATATGCATTAAATATGTTTTTTTAGAAATTTTCTATAATGAGATGACAAGTCACGATACGAATCTGCAAGAGCATTTATCCACGCGTCTTTGATGTTGGAGAACAAATTAATGAATTTCAACTTCCTTATCATTTCGATGTAACTAATATTTAGTCATATCATGCTAGGTATGACGATTGTTTTATTTAGTAGAAGTTATTATTCTTGAGATTATTTATCATGGGCGTGATTTTCATTTGATAATTATGTTTTACATTCCTTATTCTACAATACAACCATATCATGCGAAAAGCCGAATTTCGGAGGTTTAGTTTTAAAGGTTTCATCTATTTCGCAGAAAATGAATGATTTCGAAAATATTTTTTTTAAAAATAATCGTATGTATTGTTTATTAAAAAAATAAACGAAAAATATTTTTATCATCCACTACAATGTCTAAACATAATTTGTTGTTGATAATAAAAATATTTTCAATTGATTAATTATTTTAAAATATATAAATCATTATTTTGAAGAAAATACTTTCTTAAATTGTGATTGTACATCTTGGCGGATAATTATCCAAAAACAAAAACAAAAACAAAAACAACTGTAGGATGTACGGACACAGATCGACAGTCGGCATACTCGCCTTCATCATTTCGCGTACCGCTTCCTTTCGACGATCGCAGGCTGAAGCTCCTTCGAACTCGAGACGCGACCGTGTCTCTCCGCTCCTGGCAAGTGTTTCTTCTCTACTTCGATCAGCGAAGAGTTCTGAAATTTCTCTGCTTTTCGATTCTTCCTCGGCTGCTGTACGCCCCCGTTCGTTTCGACGATAAGTTGGTAGTAGAGTAGCAGCGGCACGAACAGGGGTCGATGACGTTGCCGATGTCCGATTCCGGTTTCCTGGTTTGTACTAGCTGAATACTTGAGGATTCCGTCGATCGCGCCGTTGCGGGAGGTGGGCTTAAGCTTCAGTCGTCGACAAGAGCTACTTTTGTTGACTTAAGAAAGCTCGGAAAGCTCCGAGCTCGCTTCTTTTTTGTATTGTGGGTGTGTGTGACTTCTCTCTTCCTGAGCTCGCTTGGTGAGTCCTGGAAATTATGGAATTCTACTTGCATCGGTTTCTTCGAATTTGCGACCACCCGTGTCTGAAGTGGATATAAATGGTCGCGAAAGAGAAGAAACAGTCCCCCCCCGGTTGCACGAAAATTGAGTGGCTATTGTCATTGTCTCTTAGTGTGAAGCATTCGGGCGAATCTTGTTGTTGTATCGAGGTTGTAAAATGCGTGCTTTAGTTCCGTTTTTTATGGTTTGGAATAAGATTATGGATGCATTAGAAAACTCGGGGCTGATGTCCGATCCGTTGGTTATGTTGGCCTAATTTTCTCAAGAATTTTATGCCATTTTTGCAGGTACCAATTCTACTCAAGTGAAACAAACAACCACGACAATGAATCCCGGACAGCTTACTCTTCTCGGTTCCACAATCTGTGTGATGCTCACGACGCACTTTTCTGTACAGCTTCTTTCCGAGCATTTCTTCTATTGGAAGAAGCCGAAGGAGCAGAAGGCCATAATCATCATCATCCTTATGGCCCCTGTATATGCTCTTGACTCGTATGTTGGTTTGTTAGACTATGAAGGAAGCAAAGTGTTTTTCACATTCTTGGATTCAATAAAGGAGTGTTATGAAGCTCTGGTAAGGACATGATATTTCAAGTCACATACTCCAATTCATTCATCGACGTCGATTACTCCATCACAATATGTTGCATTATTAGAAGAAGACTCATGCAGGTGGTGAAGTTATCTAGATGAATTGAATGTTTGTGCCTATCATGTGCAGGTGATTGCAAAGTTCTTGGCTCTATTATATAGCTACTTGAACATATCCATTAGCAAAAACATAGTCCCAGATGAAATTAAAGGGAGAGAGATTCACCATTCATTCCCAATGACACTCTTCCAGGTAGAGTTTGTACATATGTTCTCTTCTTGGGTTACTTTATGAATGTCCGCGACTCCGCATGGCTACATGTTGCACTTTCAGGAACATTTAGTGTGGCTGGGGAAATTTACATCAGTCAATGGCAAATGCGTGTCGTTCAATCGTCATTCCGTTTTATTGGATGTCTACGTATCTGTCTTGAGAAATTCGTTGGAAATCTAGAAGGTTTTTCTAATCCCCTAATGCTTGGAAGAGGTCCCAAGAGCTCAAATCTTCAATTAATAGTGTGCAAATTACATATTATATCCCACCTATATGATTGCATGCTATAAACTTCTGAACAGATATGAAGATGAGCGTGGCAGCCTTATTTTTTTGTAGGTGCAGCTCTTGAGGGGTTAATTTATCAAACTAAATTCTCTCAAATAGCATGCACGGCGTGTTGATGTAATGAGAACGAGAAAATTTTCTGACGTATCGGTACACTTTAAAGAGCAACATATTTCATGAGACCACTGATGATGCTCTTTAGAGATGGAGCGTACTATACATTCACTCTAACTATTAAGGAATCACCTTTAGCATTGTTAGTAAGAAGGTTTGTTATGCAATGATTAAAATTTTGATCCATTGGTCTCCATTTTCTTATTACGCTAATTCAGGCATTAGTACTGCCCTTTCTGTTTCTCTACAGTTTGAGTCTTTGAGATATGTTAAAAAACACTTGAGTTCAACCCATGGTTCAATCTATCAATTGCAGCCCAGGACAGTTCGTTTGAATCACAGCACATTAAAGCTTCTTAAGTACTGGACATGGCAGTTTGTGGTGATTCGGCCTTTGTGCTCCATCCTAATGATCACTTTTCAACTCTTTGGAATATATTCAAGCTGGCTCAGCTGGACATTTACTATTGTTCTGAACATTTCAGTCTCGCTTGCTTTGTATTCTCTTGTGCTTTTCTGCCATGTCTTCTCTAAGGAGTTGGAACCGCACAAGCCTCTTGCCAAGTTCTTGTGCATCAAAGGGATAGTATTTTTCTGCTTTTGGCAGGTAAGCTTAATAGCCATACAGTTATCCTGTTATCTTGGTGAATGAGGCACAAGCCAAACAGATGCAAGTTCTGCTTTTTCTACCACCGACTCTTGTTTTGTTTTCTTTTAGGTTTGTCCCCAATATTTCGAAATTCCTATGATATTTATCGTTGGAGAACTTTTTTTGTAAGATTATATGCTCAGGTCCCAGAGAACTTTCAAAAACCTGTACGCTTTGCTTTTCAAAAGGCTCGACTTTTTATTATAATGACCAACCATATTGCAAAGCTACAGATCCTAAGTGATTTTTATATGATATGTGTGCAATTGTGTGTGTTGGACATCAATTCAGCGATAGCTGTTGCGACCTATCCTGCAGGGAGTGGCACTTGATATTCTTGCAGCGCTGGGCATAATTCGGTCTCGCCATTTCTGGCTGGATGTGGAGCACATTGAGGAAGCACTTCAGAATGCGTTGGTGTGCATAGAGATGGTTTTCTTTTCTTTCTTTCAGCAGTATGCATACAGTGTGGAGCCATACAAAGATGATTCGACGACAGTTGCCAGCAAAAAGAGAGAGTGACTTTGGATACATCTCTGGTGGGGAAATAACAATCGCGTATGGTAATTTATTGTAGCTGCTGCTTGAGAAATGCTGATACCGGTTTCATTGAGTGTATGCCTCCATATAAAATGTTTCTGAGCTTGTTTGAGTGTACCCATGGAGGAACTTAGGCGAAAACTGAAATTTTGGATGCCAGGTCCTCTGGGTGTAACGGTTCCTTTTCTTCGCCATCTTTTAGGTGTTTTGCCTATCGAAAGCTTCAGTTCCAATTTTTGTGATTTTACTTTTCTCGACTTCGTTGATGGTGTATGTACCTCGAAATGCTGATACAGCAGAAAATTAGCCAAGCTTGCTCTTTCGGTACATCAAAGAATGGGAAATTGAAGTCGCTGCATAGATGGAACACAGCAAAAGCGGTTGATGCTAACATTTATAATCTATTCATCCTCGTCTTATTCCTGTCATGTACAAGTTAGAGCACCCTGAATTTGAAAAGTTCATCACCACATGAAAGTACAGGCTTCTCTCTACATGTCGGAGCTTATGAAAGTATTTTCACTGCGATCACGTTCTCTGTGCGACGACTCCGTCCTCAGTGCGAAGATTCTTTAGCCTTCTGCAAAGAGAGTGAAAAGCTTCAAAGAGGGCGAATGAAAATTCCTCGTAGTCACTTTTACATCAGCGGAGTACATGAGATGAATCTAGGACTTCCCCGACTGCCCTCTGATCACACGCAGTTTCACTTGTGTCACAACTAACCTAAGATTGGTAACGGTACCGCTCGTGCAATGACACAGGTGTGACAAGGATGAAACTTAATATTGTATATATGAACACAAGTTTTTCTAACATCGGATTAGAGACATAATGCAATCAAATGCTTTCACACGCACGATAAATGGTGAACCCAACATCGGGTGCTCAGTGAAATTTGAAGAAAGTAGGTGAACCGCCAGAAGATTGAAACTTGTCGTCCTAACATGCAATAATGCAATAATTAAGTACCTCTTCCTTCTTTTCATTCTTTCCTCTTGTAAAATACTTGTAGCCCCCATAGAAGAGTAACCCCCCAGCCAGTTAAGGAGACAATTACGAACTGCAAAGGCATGACAAGCCCAATGAAGCATGCCATCAGAGAAGGAAGCATAAGAAATACAGCAGGAGTCGCATTGCAACGAAAGACTGAACAGAGTGGGCTATGTCAAAGATTTCATCAACAGCAGATGCACAGATAGAGGAATCTTTCCTATCATCGATGGAGCCTGATTTAGACTGCGTAAAACTAGATGGTCAATCAGTTCTTTTCCAAACCATTGTCCAAGCAACAGATCATAAGTTCAGGAATCATCAGCAGCCCGCATTACAGGCAATTTTCAACTTCAAATTCATAAACTTTGGCTGACACAAGCAACAGCAAAAGGCTAAAAGGTGTTAATTTGAGTTATGTTCTTGGCGGGGAGAGTGTTTCTTCAAGTTCGAAGGGATATATGTAATTGTCTAGCTCTAACTAATTCTTGTGGAAATAAAATCTTGCCCCTGATGGTATACACACAATAGAAGTTCTTTCGCAAACACGTTAAGGGTCAACTCTAATTCTCAAATGTAACACTAGGACGACACCATTGCTGACATACTGCCAATAAGATCATCATAATCCCAAAATAGTAGATATCTATCATCATAGTATGATGAAGCAAACACAAAGCTGGGACAACTTACATGTTCCTCTTTCCACTTTGAAGGACTCAGTGGGTCCTCCCAAAAGTTCACCTTTGGCGGTCCATGGTGTTCTGCATCAAGAGATCCCCAGAAGATGTAAGGATATAAACCAACTCGAATGCTTCCCTATAAATTTCTCATTGGGTCAAGTCGCATATCAAACGAGCAACCATCGATTGTACAAGAACGTGATATGCTAATGAACAGAATCATTTCTCACTTTCTCAGAAGACGTTCGACCCAAATTTTCACAAAATATTCAAGCTTTCAACTCAAACAAGCACGAGAGGGAGGGAGGGAGGGAAGGAGGGTCAACCTCCACCGCCGGCCAGACCGCGCCGATGAATGAGAGTAGCAGCTCCAGGCGCGGAACAAGGAGCAGATGGTTTCAGAGAAGAAAGCCGAGCCGAAGTCGCAGCTTGGCGAGCAGCAGCAGCAGCCCACGCCGCCATAGTTTGAGGCCACTTCCGATGATGCGTAACGCGGGGAAGCGAAGGTGGAGAGAGACAAGTACGAGGATCGCACTTCGAGCACGTCCCAGAAGCTGCGAGAAACTCTTTGAGAACGAAGTAGAATGGTGTAGCAAATATGGACACTTCGAGAAATGGATCATTATAAAACAAAAGTATTCTTTTTGAAACTAAGATTCATGGTCACCATATGACTAATGAGTCGGTCCAATATGAATTTGTAACTTCCAATACGGTGATACATTCTTTTTGGCCAAACAATAATTCTCATTTTTTCCCATTAACAGTTGACATTGAACCTTGCTCAATTTAACTCTGTCTGATGCTTTTCAATATCACCCCCTTGGTTGAATATATTGAAAACACAATAAGTCTACGTAACTTTACTGGAAGATTCTTTCATCAGGTAAAGAAACTTTAGGAAAGTAATTTGAATTTTAGGGTCACAATGATAGGTTATACAGTCAAATTTCTTCCATATCTAATGTCTACTGCAGCTAAATGTGAAGAAATATCAACGAAGATGTTTATTGCATATGCTGACTATATGCTGACTATAGATCACACTCAACTCAACGGCCGATCATGTCGAATAGACCCCACAACAAGACCCCCGGAATTAATAATTGAGATGTTATTGTTTCATATAATCTATACATCATGCAATAACTTCTCGAAAATTTTTATGTTCTTTCCGTCATGGGTGTTTTGCATAGTCAGTATAGACTTGATCATGGGCTGAGTCCCTCCTGGAGTTTGCTACCAAAGTGTAGTTTCCTTGTAGGAGAGTATACATTCATTAAACCCCAAAAGGACTCCAATTGATTAATTTCTCTAGACTTGAGTCCTTGTCCAGTCAAAAGTAAACTCGAACCATACAAATGATCAATTGTCAAGAAAAACAAACCATACATATATGCTCATTCCAGATATTAACACAAAATCTCATTTCAGGAAACCCACTATTGTCAATAGCTCCATGAGGCATGAGATGAAATACAACGCAAAGACAGCAGCTGGCAGCTTGTATAGGAGTCAAAATGTCAAGGAGTGATCTAAAAAACACGTCATATATAACCCGAACACCATGCCTATTGCACAAAATGCGCTCGACTCCAAAACGTACAAGGAGCAGTGGGCTAACTCCAAAAGGATTAGATACAAACGCAGAGAAAAGCATCCCTTCCGATATGGTTAAGAGGTAGAGTAACATTTCCCATTCCATTGCCAGCTGATTAGTTTTGCCGATGGATACATGGAGAAAAGAAGGCAAGGAAGTTCCTCAGCAAATCAGTGCACATGCTGCAACCAGCTTAACCGGACACTTCTGGAAATGCCTATTTAACATATTTACAGTGCTGATCATGTGGGACCATAGGAACTCAGCACCTGTTTTGAGTCTGCAAAAAAGAGTAACTGAATTAGGTGAGAATGCATGTAGACCAACGAGAAGTGAGTGTAGTTCAGGAAGCAGGTAACATGTAACAATTCATCAATCACCAAATCCGAGAGTTTAGCATCAAACTGATTAGCACTAACCAGTCCCAGGAAATTCCATCACAGAGACAAGCTAGCAAAAAGCAGTTCCAGCTCCTCATCTTGTGATGCCGTTCTCTGCATACGAAATAAAGAATCGGTAGATCAGCAACTACTCCACAAACTGTTAAAATCAAGACACGCTAAATAGGATTGGAAACCTAGAGAAGGCATTCCATGAAGTGCATGTATTGAAAAGAAAGAGACAAAAGCAGGTTATCAAGCAAAGAGATAATATAAAACACCGAGATTAAACAATTCACTTCATTCGCAACATTGAAAGAAATAATTTCGTATCCAGCAAAAGAAAACAGATGAAACAAATTTCCATAGAACGGAAATATACAGCTTCATAGGTTAGACTGAAAAATACATTCCAAAATAAGAAAAAAGGAGGAAAAAACTAACAACCCAATGATAAAGAACAAAATATCAACGTACACCAAGGTCTTCGCTAAACCTAGTGTTGGAAACTAAAGCTGCTTATGATCCTCATCTATTAAAGCCAAAACCACCTAAAAAAGCAAAGCATATTCCACATGCAACTGCGAGTCAAAGTGCAAGCACCTGAATTGTCATTAGTTGCAATAACTTGTTGAGAACCTTCAGGCGATGAGTTGCATATGTGCTATTTGCAGGCAACTGATTCATTCTCTTCATCTCCTTGTGAACTGCCGCCTGCTTCTCATCAAACCCAAGCGGCTTCCAGGTATTAACAATCTGATTACTCTCTCTATTTTCCATGGCCTGATTTTGAGGAGTTTTGTCCGCAAACTGATTAAGCAGATTCCGCCCTCCGCTGAGCATTCCAATGCACAATCAGAGAAAGATACAAGGAAACAGCATGAAGCCAAGACTCGTAAACTTCTTCGATTAGGAGGAGAGAAGTGCAGCCAGTATTCTCTTAACAAATTTCCCGAGATTTAAATCTCGTTATGTATAGTGCCGTTACCATTTCATTGGTCCTAATTTAAATCTGTAATCAACATTACACACAAAAATCTCTCTCCTTCCATCATTTTAACTTTGAAACTTCCACCTCTAAAAAAGCCAATGGGGAGTCAAAAACCAATCTCTAGACGCAAAGGTGACTGAAAAACAGTAGGCAGGGAGATGGACATATTGGGTAAGGCTACAACATATTCAACCATCTCTCCAAAACATTTTGTCAGAAACATTAGGAGGAGGAAAAATTCTTGGAGCTAATAGCAACACATCCGTCTCATGATACAAGACAAGCCCAACAACATTGGGTGCAAAAACAAGACGCGGAGAAAGACTTTCCGGGCAACAACATCTTCCAACAGGAGGAAACACGTTCAATTTCGCGAGCCAAATTGGCATGTTCGTAAGCATGATCGAGGCACAAGCCCTCGTTAACCATCTAAGCATCAAACGACGGCGAAACCCAACGCTGACTTGAATTTTCTTTCTTACCCAGGATCGCGAACGGAATGAACAGCCTTCTTCAATTCAAGAAAACCACGCATGGGTATAGCTAAAGATCAAAAAAATGAGAATGGAGATCGAATTGAAACCAACCTGTAATCCATCGCAGGTAAGGATGCAGAGACAAGTGGTCTTAAAGATTCGTTCTTGGGAAACCAACCGTAACAAAGAACATGCGATTCTTCTCAACCTCGGATTCAGGAGAAGAACCTAGAAAAGTGAAAAACTTCACCGCTCAGCACCAATACGACACGGCGTCTGCGTATGCGGGTGCTGCCGCACTATTTAGGGTGTCGTTTCTGCCCAACAGTAACGATGGTATCCTGTCAAGTAGATTAGATTTAACTATCCTATAGGTAAAACTGAAGGCTAGATTGATAAAATAAAAAAATAAAAAAAACACGTGGCGAAAAATTAAGTACTGAAATTATTGATCAAATATGTAACTGTGATCATAATTGATGGGGCTTAATAACATAATTACAAGGTTCTAATTAAGATGCTATCAAACAGTTTAATCTCATTAAATGCTAAACTTTTTACTTATGGCACTTAAATTGGATCATTAAATAGATGGTAATACCTAAGTTAGTTGAATTTAGACAGCAGGCTCAATGCTTCGAGTCCTCTATACTGTAATTGGAATTTTTAAAAGAGGGATAAGCTTGATTGGTAGTCAAGTCCTCTGCATCATACGGCTTTCTTTTTTATGTGCCTATTGATCATTTCAATTCCAAAGAGCGAGTATTTTATCGACGAAACTACTGACATGTTTCGCTCGATAAAAATCAGTTGCTACTGGGTGGTGGAAATTCGGGATTGTCCGACATTATAGAAGGTTTGAGAGATACAACAAGATAAGGACTGATGAGAAAGCCATTGTGCAAAACCAACACGATCTTATAATGCCTTTGGGACATTATTAACTCAATGATTAGGGAGAGGGAAATCTTAAGCTTTTCTTTTTTTGTCCAGTGGAGGAGTCATTCTTCACGTGGACATCGCATGGCCAGCCCCCCCGAAATGTCTCCTCTTTTCTCCATCCAGTACGAGTCGTTCGTGCAGAGAGGGACGAATTGACTCCCACTCAAAGACTGAAAACGGGGTTCTCTTCTTCGAGCCCCACTATCGTCCATGTATAGGGGCTCCTCGGCCCACTGCATTGCCACCTGCAAAACAAGGATTTCCCATCTGTCTCCGTCGATTTTGAGTGCGAAAAGATTCAAATCGAAGTGGTTCGCATGGATAGCTGAACAGATTCTCTAAACCATTAGATGCCAACAGGCATGAGGCCCTACTGATGAAGGGATTAGGGATGTTGTCGGAGACTATCAAGTCCGGGGTTTGATCCTCATGAGTATCGCACACATGTAAAAAATCACAAAATAAATGGAAACTAACCATTTTTCTTGAAAATAATTTTCGTGGAAAAAAAAAGGTTTGAGTATATTAGTGTCACGGTGGGAAAAGTTTAGAATTTTTTTGTGATAGACAAGGGGTATTTTTGTGTACAAATTTGGAGTTTTGATGGCAAAAAAAAGTTTAGAGTATTTATTATGTTAGGATTTAGTTTTTTTGTTTTTTCAATCCTAGTGCGCTTTTCTTTTAATCTTGAACAGTTGAGACTTTTCATAATATATAAGAATCCACACATTGATTCGCGGGAAAACACTACCAAAAACTCCAAACTATGCTACTTGTGACAAATTTACCCTGAACTTTTTTTTTGTGACGTGAAAAACCCCAAACTATACCACTTGTGACACATTTACCCCACAATACATTTGTCTAAGGGCGTTTTCGCCTTTCTCTTTTTTCTGTTTTTTTCTTTTTTTTGTTTCTTCTAGATTGACGCCGGCGAGGGCCGTCCTCGCCGGATTTGGCGAGGGCAGCCCTCGCCCGACTTAGGCGAGGGCTGCCCTCGCTCGCCTAGGCGAGGGCGGCCCTCGCCCGATGCCGGTGAGGGTCACCCGACGCCGGCGAGGGTCGCCCTCGCCGGCTTCCCTCCGTAGTGGGAAGAGAAGAAGGAAAAAAAAAACATAAAAAAGAGAAAGACGAAAATGCCTTTGGACAAATGCATTATTGGGTAAATGTGTCACGAGTGGCATAGTTTGGGATTTTTCGTGTCACAAAAAAAAGTTCAGTGTAAATTTGTCACAAGTGGTATAGTTTGGGGTTTTTGGTAGTGTTTTCCTTTGATTCGCAAAAAAAAATAATGATTAGGTTATTCTAAAATTTAAATAATTTTTTAGATTTTGACAAGAAAACGAAAAAGTTTCTTCTTACGACAAATCCAAACACACAAACTTACGGAGTGAAAAATCACGGAGTTAGCAGGAAGACTAGATCGATAAAGATGAGAATATCGTACTAAGCCTTCTTCGAGTTGAAATCTCAAATCAATAAATATCTTCGCGATATTCTCAAAGTCAGTCATGCATTTTTTTTTTTAACTTATCCGAAAAGACGGACTGGTTGAGCTAAGCATGGATACGAAGATGAGATCAATCATGAGATCGAACTAGAGAATCTATTTCTCATTTACTTGCCGTTAAAATCCAAAATGCAATTTCTCGAAAAATGAAAAGAATTGCGCACATTTTCTTATTGGAGACATAAAAAACCAAATCGATAGGAAGTAAAAAACCAAGGGAAAAAGGCCAAAGACTGTGAAAGACTTATTAGGACTGCGCTCCGATCTCTCTCTCTCTTCTTGCTTTCCTCTTGCTGGTCGAACACAGAGAGAGAGAGAGCGAGAGAGAGAGATTCGGAGATCAACCTGTGTCCGAAAGCCTTCTCTCTCTCTCTCTCTCTCTCTCTCTCTCTAGAACCGAAAGCCTCTCTGATCTTCGCCCATTCGACATGAACGGGAAGGCCAACGTCTCCAAGGAGCTCAATGCCCACCACAGAAAGGTTCGGCCCTCGTTTCCCTCCGTTTCGTCGGCTTTGACCCCCGCGCTCTCGCTCCGGCGGTCGTCGGGGGGGAAATTTTTTTTCGCGGGTTGACCCCGGCGTGATTCCGCCGCTCGATCGTCGCCCGCCTCGTGTTTGTTTTCAGCTCGCGTTTCTTGGTCTCCGGAAATGACGGCTTCGATCTTGTTGTGCCTTTGAGAAGTAACGAACGGTTTAGATTGAGTTGAAAGCATGTCTGCGGCGGTAGATTGATCCGAAGCGGCTCTTGCGCTTGATTCGACTGGCCCCGCTTTGAGCAAAAGTTGGTTTTTTTGCTTCGTCAGATTAGGAGGATCATTTGCTGTGTGTGTCTTGCGAACGCAAGTAGTGTTTGTTCTAGTCCTATGTAGAAACCGTGGGATTGTTGGGCAAGGTTGATTTGTTCGGTCTGATGGTTTCTCTGGCAAAGTCCTGTTTTGGCTTCCGTCTTTACTTTTAATGTGAACATGGATTTAGGCTTGAAACCCGGAATGGGATAAGCCGGAAATCAATCTGCAGAACATGTCTTTAGACTTCTCTGGCGCAAAATGAGAGAGAAAAGAGCTTCACCACCAGAAGAAGCACGTGATTTGTGGAGATCCAATCTCTCTTCATACTTGCTTTAGCCCTTATGTTACTGTGAAAAGTGAAACTTCATCGTTTTATCCTTTACTGGTATTCCTTTTTCCCCATCCAATTTTCATTTGCTTTAAAAATCTATGCAGATTCTCGAAGGGCTTCTCAAATTGCCTGAGAACAGGGAATGTGCTGATTGTAAGACCAAGTAAGTATCAGTATAACTGTATAAGGAGAGATAACAGAAATTGTGTGCAGTTAGATTACACTTGAATGTTGATCGAAGTAGGAAAAGCACAAACCTATCGGTTCAATCAGTTCGGCAGTTGATGATTTAGCCATACCGCTACCTGTCTCCTCCTTGCACCCATTATTTGTAGCTAAAGCTAATGTTTCGTGCAGAGGTCCAAGATGGGCTAGTGTCAATTTAGGAATATTTATATGCATGCAATGTTCGGGAATCCATAGAAGTCTCGGGGTACATATATCAAAGGTACTATTTTAACATTTGACAATCTGATGTTTTTACTTTTATTGTATGATTTATGAGATTAATTGAGAGTTTAAGTTGCGATACTTAGCTTTTGTACGAAACAGTTGCGGTACTTTGTTGAATAGCAAAAACACCATCGGAAATCCCTGTAGCAAATAGACTTACGTTCTGGCGGAGTTATATCTTTGTAGAGAAATTCAAGAAGCTCGTGTCTCTACTTTCTTGACACTCTCTCCAGCAGATAATGGAACACACTACCCCTGATATAGTTGGCAGTGATGGATGTCCCTTTTGAGTGTATCATCATTCTTAAGCTTCATGTCCTTGACTAGTTTCAAACCTGTGGGAAGAGAAATGCCGATGACTGTAGTAAAGGTGAAATTCACCCTCTGACAGGGTTAATATGGTGATTTGACATGGGTTATGATCCCTTCTTGGTTCTTTAAGTGGAAATGCTGTTCTTCTTTTCTCCCAAGCTCGTCAGCTTTTAGAAAAGATAGAATGATTGATCATTTGGAGGTAATTCTGCATGTGAAATTGTTTGTGTGTCGTATCAGAGCCATGCTACTAGCTATATCTACTCACCAAGTGCTGGCATACATCAAACATGCTCCTGAAGATATAATGCAATACTATTTATGAAGTTAATGCCCTTCTGTGTAATTTAAAGGGCAGCAACCTTGCATTTGAACTCGATCTTCAATTGTTTCAGCTGAAGTTTGCTTTTGAAACCATACCTAGACTTATCAATTCCCTGCTGTGTGATTCATGGAAGTTTTTTAGAGAGTAATCTTGGTTAGATAACCTTAAAGAGTTCTCAAGTTGGTTCTGCCATTGTTTTTGAAAGTAATATCAACATCATTCATCAGTTATGTAAGCGAGATGACAGTCCCTAGGTCTGCTCCTTAGTCATGTAACCCATCTCTGTCGCGATTGCCTTTGTTGATATTTTGAATGCAAATGGTAGAATACAAACGATCGATGGATGTAGTTATCATGTTCAAGCTTTTGTTGCAGGTCCGATCAGCTACTTTGGACACGTGGCTTCCAGAGCAGGTTGCTTTCATACAATGTAAGGCAGATCTTTCCCATGATTGATGTCAGTTTGGTCTAAGATTGAGAAAAAGCATGCTAATACCCGCAGCTGTGCAGCCATGGGCAATGAGAAGGCAAATAGCTATTGGGAGGCAGAGCTACCCCAAAATTATGACAGAGTGGGAATTGAGAATTTTATTCGTGCAAAGTATGTGACGTACTTTTGCATCTCTACCCGTCATTTTTGTTGTGTTTGTCATGGCTCCTTAGATTAGTGCATTATCCATTGCTTCATCCAATGCTGTTTACTGGTTATTTTCGTAGATATGAGGAGAAAAGGTGGGTTTCCAGGGATGGAAAACCCAAGTCACCTTCTAGAGGACAAGAAGAAAAGGATACTGTACAGTGGCAGAGACCTGGCGAAAGAAGTGCACAGAGATTTTCAGGCAAGCCCGAGAGTTCATTTGAGCAAAGGAGGACCAGCCAAGCCTCTTTTACAAAACACAGCAATCCTGTTCCTCCTAAAGGACCTGATCAGGTATCGGCTTGTACACCCATAGCATTTATTGGTCGGAGTTAGATACAGATTTTCAATTCTGGAAGATCAGGACTAATGTGAGATACGACGACAACCCATATTATAGTCTACTCATAGTTATCTTAATCACCGGATGTCCTAAGGAAACTTTTTTTTCTCTAGGAATCCACGAAGATGTGCTAAATTGCGTCATAATGTGGCATTTTGTCTCTTTTAACTTGAGAAAATTCTGTCTACACTTGGTGGAGTGAGTTATAAGGAAGTGTGGTATACAATAATGCTTATGGCAATTTGAGGTTACTTCGTCCTCTTAAAACTCAAATCACATAATATATGATGTTCGTGACAAACAGGTCACTGCCGGTCCAAAACTGCAAGATGCTAAAAAGACGGAAATGGCTGCGACACCTGTTGAAGCAATAAAAGAAACTGTAGATACTGCTCCGGCTGCGTCTCCTCCCAAAGTTGATTATACTACTGACCTTTTCAACCTGCTATCCATGGAAGCTCCAAATGAAAAGGGTTCAGAGGCAGCTTCCACAGATGATTGGGCTGGTTTTCAAAGTATATGATCTCTCTCTCGCTCTCTCTCTCTCTCTCTCTCTCTCTCTCTCTCTCTCTCTCTCTCTCTCTCTCTCTCTCTCTCTCACACACACACACACACGAGGATTGTTCTAGCTTGTTCTTTCTACTTGGTTTTACGTTAGCAATCTCGACGTTAATTTAAGAGATGCTGGTTTCGTTGTTGATATCTGTTGTACCTTTAACATCCAGCTGCTGGAGCGGCAGCCAAAACTGAGAGAGAAAAGTCCAATAACTCAAAACCTGTTGAAAGTAGCACTCAGTCCACTTCTGGCTTTGAGGATCTTTTTAAGGACGTCACTCTTGTTCCCTCAGTTTCAGAGAAACCTCAGAAAGATGTGAAAAATGACATAATGAGCCTTTTTGAGAAGGTATATGCTCGATCATTTTCTTTTGAATGAATTCTTTAAATTATATTCTCTCCAATCTCGCTTGTCAGTTCAATTTCATTTGAACTTTAATGTTTATATTCTAGGTATGCATGTTGGTGGTCTTATGTTATATGAACAATGCAAAACAATTGCCAATCTCTACATGGAAATGTCGACAAGACTCTTTTTAGGAACTATGTCCTGTATTTCCGTAGTCTTGTTATTGAGTATCTCGGAACAGTATATGTGACAGTGAGATGGTTTATTGTATTTGCAGAGCAACATGGTTTCGCCATTTTTGATGCATCAACAGCAACTTGCGATGCTGGCACAGCAGCAGTCCCTTCTCATGGCTGCAGCAGCGAAATCTGGTTGTGTGGATCCAAAAATTCTTGGTGCTACACAGCAACCTGGTTTAAATGGCACTAATTACCCTATGATGAACTGGCCCAACATGGGTCAACAAGTTCCAGGGAACACATATCCAATAGGCGGACAAGCAGATTTACAGACATTCATGCTGGTATGATATAATGAGGCTTACGCTAATTGCTTGAGCTTTTCAGATTTAGTTTCTGATCATCATATCTATTCTTATCATTAGACGAGCAACCTACCAACTCCACATCTGTTGGGGAACTTCTCAGACAATTCGACATCAAGGTAAGCTATTAAACTTTACATGCTCGTGAAAACTTGATTGAAAAATTAACAAAACGGACTAGGGATTGTGCATGTGAATGAATCCTGGCTCGAAAGCTTTGCTCGTCTGTGTCTTCGTTGTGAAATGAGTCCAGATGAAGATCTTTTCATTTGACATTTTGACACTACCTGAGACATGATCTTCTTGTACTTGGCAGTATACGAATGTCTTCCCTGCGGCTGATAAGTGGTTCTCTATTACTAGGGTTTCAAAACAAGCACGTCCTTGAGAGTGCTTCATAGCGCTCAGCTAAATACCAAATTGCGTCAATACTTCAACCTATATTCTTTTTATAATTGTTAATCAAACGCACATCCTTGTTAGCTCAGCCTCAATAGTTTCTCTTTTTCTTGCGATGAGTAACTCTGTGTGCAGGTGTTACAGTGAAAACTCTGCTTCACAGACCCATTACCTGTTCCGTACAGGAAACATGAATCTTTTCCAACCAAGTAAACATAAAAGATATATTATTTTTTCTCTCCCGAGCATGATTAATAGGGATGGAAAAAAGTTTACATGGTATTTATTTTCAAGGATCTGACTAATGACTGCTCTTAGGTAACTTGCTAAGAAAGTATTCTCAAAACACTAACCTTTTTCCTTGATATGTAGTGTTATGAAAACTGAATCCTTTCTTTGAGAGTATGCCTGGCAAATACTTGAGAGCACTCTTTAACATGCATTGTTGATAATTTATCTATCTTCATGGGGTCAAAGGGGCATAGACGGTGTGGAGATTTCAAGGAAACATCTTCCTATGTCAGAACTGTTGGATCATATTTGCTGTAGAAATTAGAAATTGCCAAAGTGATTGTGCCAATATTTTGGGTTTAGTGGTTAAAAGGTGGACTAGAGGGGCGTATTCGCACGTATCATATTCGATTCTCAAGTAGGAAATACTTCAAAGAGAACATACAACCTTTTCCTTGAGCATCTTATAAACCCACATCTTTTGCACCCAATTGCTATCTAGTATACAATTTGCACATTTTGTCTTCCCCGTCACTACAAAAAGAAAGAAAGAGGAAGAAAAAAAGCACACAAATAATAAAAGAAACTCAAGTGCTCAATAACGAAAGGACCGTTTTTGCACAAGCTTCATATGATTGCTGTTGCAGTTTGCACTGTAAAGCTGAATCTCACTGACTGTAGATGGACTGGTAAGAATTTCCAAGGGAAAATGAATTATCTCGGCTAAATTGTTCATGATGGAATCCTGTAGTGGTTCTTCACATTCTGGTGCTTACTCAGTTTCTCCCTGGCATTACTGTTCTTGTTTTATTATAGGCTAATGTTGCTTTCATGTCGATACATTTATCTTATTTGATGCTTTTCTTGACCGTATCAGAGAGTATAAACTGTATGATTATGGCGGTTAATTTCTTCTCCTGTTGGCCTTAAGCAGCATGTATACGATGGGGCAAACTATCAATGTCAATGGTCTCATGTCTGCTGGGGTTACCAACCATCAATCGACTCCCACTGTTGCATCTGCTTCTCCTTCAACACAATCTGGGAAAGAGTTTGACTTCTCTTCGTTAACCCAAGGCATGTTCTCAAAACACTGAGTAAGTTGCGAATGCAAATATTATACAATCAGGAGAGAGCAAAATTTTATAGGGGACGGTGCTTGGAACTTCTTTTGTAAGCATGGGTCATAAGCAATTTGTTAAGGGTTGATTTGGTTTTTCCGTTCACTTATTGGGTGGTGATTTGTATGGGTAGCCCTTCTGAGTAATAAAAAGTAGCTCATATTGATTTGAATGTCATCCTCAAGACTGACATGTTTCATGTATTATTGTTGTTTGACGAAATCATAGGTCTGACATTGTGTGTGATTCTATGTTTGCCTCTGGTCCCTAACATCTTGCGCTACAAAGGGATATCTCCATGGAAGCCCAGGCTGGGCTTTCCTGCTTCGTTTGATACGTAGTCTCTTCCTTTTCTTTATTGCTTGGGTTCAAAATACTCTAGCTTGGTTGAGTTAAGAATATTAGCATAGAAGACATGCTGCATCATGGATTGAAAAGTTTGATATGCGGAAGGCACAGAAAAACACTGCTATTGTATAGGTTTTGCTGTCCATAACAATCGGATGGTCAAGACTGAACTTGGGCTAGATGTGGATGGGAGAAGTAGAAATTGGTTGCATAATGGCTAACCTATCAAACAGGTGGTTTGGATCGGGGTTGGGTCATAAATGATCCGATCCAAATTGATCCATTAACCCGTTTATGATCATTTATTCATAATATAAATCTATTGACCCACGCTCGATTCGACCAACATTGCTAAAACACTTTAATATTTAATTCAATGTAGGAAAACTCATTACCAAATTGAAGTGAGCGAGCGAGATCTAGCGAGAGTGAGAGAATGAAGAGAGTTATCAAGCTAAGTTGGGTCTAAGTAAATTGTAAACCTATTTATAAACTATTTATGACTCATTTAACACTAATATTATGTTTAAACCTGACTCATTTACTTAATATGACTAACTTATATAATAAATCAGCCCATTATATATGGGTTAAAAATGGATTTATAATTCATTTTGACAGATCTAATAATTGTTTCATATAGGATTCATCACTATCATTGTTTGTTTCACGGAAAACATTTTTCTCGTTTTTTCGACATTTGGATCACTTAGAAAAATGAGTCAACCGAAATTGTTTTCCCAGTCAACGAAAAACCTATGCTTAAATTTAAGAAAATGATTTTCTCTATAAAAAAAATGAAAAATCATTTTCCAAAATATAACTGGATATTGGCATTTGGACCAGAAACTTTGCGTTTGGGCACGGGAATCCCAATTCTTGTTCTCGGGCCCTTGGCGGCTAACTTGGGTCTAGAGGCCGAGGTGGAGACCATTGGGGTCCATCAAGGCCAAGCCTTGGGTCTAAAGAGGTTGAGTTGAAATCTCAGTGCTCGACCTCGAGTCAATGAGGTTGAGCTCAGGAAAACAGCACCCGTAGCTGGGTACCCAACGCCTAGGCCCGAGTTCGCAGAGACCAGGCCTAGGAACTCGGTACTTTTGCCTGACTCCTCGCCACTTTGGCTCAGGTTCACAAAGGCCAAGCCCAAGACCTTGGTGCTTCCACTCGAGTCCCCGACGATCGCTCCTGGGTCCATTGAAGTTGGGCTCAAGACCCCAGCAACTAAGATTGGGTCCTCGGCGCCTGAAACCCTAATGCCCGTGCTCGGGTCCCTAGTGCCCACGCCCAGGACCATGAAGGCCAGGCTAAGGCCCAGACCCTAGTGCCCAAGCTCGAGTCCATCAAGGCTGGGCTCGGGACCCCTGTGCCCATGACTGAAATACCCCAACGCCCAAAGCCCGGGTCCATCGAGGCCGGGACTGAGACCCTAGTGCCTATGCCTGAACTTGGTTGCCAAGGAATCGGGTCCATCCTCAATGGACATGAGCCCGTCCTCAATGGATCTAGGCATAGGTGTTTGGGACCCAAGCACCAGCACCAAAGTCCCCGGCAAGGCCTCGATAGACCTAGGCCAGGGGGTTAGGAACTAGGCACTAGCATCGAGGTCCATGGCTTGGCCTTGATGGACCCAGGCTCGGGGGTCGGGGGACCTAGGCACTAGTATCGAGATCTCAAGCCCAAGTGCAAGGACTCGAGTTTGGGCATAAGCGTCGAGGTCCAAGTTCCAGGCCCAACCTCGATGGACCTGAGCCTGAGCGCCGGGGTTCAAGGTCTAACCTTGATGGACCCAGGAGCCGAGGTTTTGGGCATGGGCAGTGGGGTCCCAGGCACAAGCATCGGGTTCTTGGGTTGGCCTCTGTGTACTCGGGACCGTTGCCTGTGCTCTTGCCCTGGAGTCGGGGATCTGTGCTCGAGACCTTGATGCATGTGCCTAGTTCTCCTATTGCGCATGCACATGTTAGTAACGCCCGAATAATGTATGTTTATTTAGTAAAATCAAATCAGATTTTTCTTACCAAACAACAAAAAATAGTTTTTTAGTTCATTTTCAGATTTCAGCCAAACACCGGAAAATATTTTGCGTAATGTCATATTTTCCACGAAACTAATGAAGTCTAACTAACGTAATGAAGTTGGATAAGTTAACCATGTTTCACGCCAGTTGCATTGCTTTGCAACCTAGTTGCTCGAAACGAGACCTTTCTTTTTACGAGTCGATACATGTTGTTCACGAGTCAGATTAACAAAGTCTGCCCAAAGAGCCTCTCCAACAGAAAAATAGGCTAAACCCAGAAGAAGGGAAAAGTGCCAAAAAAATCCTAAACCTTTTGCATTAGTGCCAATTTAGTTCTAAACCTTTTGCATTTGTGTCAATTTAGTCCTAAACCTTTTTTTGGTGCCAATTAAGTCCTAAACCTTTTAAATTGGTGCCAATTCAGTCCTAAACCTTTTGTTTTTGTGCCAATTTAGTCCTTCCGGTCAATTTTAACCGGAATTTGCCGACGTGGATGCCTGCCGGCCGGCGGCCAATCACCGGCGCCAACATGGACAACTTTAATAATAATTTAATTTTTTTTTGAATTTTTATTTTTTTTCCTTTTTTTTCTTTTTTTTTCCACTTTTTTTTTTGTCTCTCCCTCCTTCCTCTGGCCGGTCGCCGGTCCGGCGACCGGCCAGAGGCCAGAGGCCGGCGAGCTCGACCTCGCCGGCGACCGGCCAGAGGCCAGAGGCCGGCAAGCTCGACCTCGCCGACCATTGGCAAGGGCGGCCTCGCCTTGATCGAGAGAGGCTCGACCTCGCCAGATCCGGCGAGGTCGGGCCTCGCCCGACCATGGCGAGGCTCGAGCCCTCGCCGGCCTCTGACCTCTGGCCGGTCGCCGGACCGGCGACCGGCCAGAGGAAGGAGGGAGAGACCAAAAAAAAAAAAAAGGAGAAAAATAAAAATTCAAAAAATATTAAAATATTATTAAAGTTATCCACGTTGGCGCCGGTGACCGGCCGCCGGCCGGCAGGCGTCCATGTCAGCAAATTCTGGTCAAAATTGGCCGGAAGGACTAAATTGACACAAAAATAAAAGGTTTAGGACTGAATTGACATCAATTTAAAAGGTTTAGGACTTAATTGACACAAAAAAAGGTTTATGACTAAATTGGCACAAATGCAAAAGGTTTAGGACTGAATTGACAAAAAAAAAAAAGGTTTAGGACTAAATTAGCACTGATGCAAAAGGTTTAGGACTTTTTTTGACACTTTTCCTCCAGAAGAATTGCCCGAGCCACGTGCCCGTATTCCGGAACCAAATTGCCACCATTGGTTTGGTATCATCAAGTCAATAGCTAAGACTCGTCGGAACGTGGACCTTTCCACACCAAAATTAGGCGCAACGACTCGAGACTTTGGGGAAAAAACTTCCCAAATTGCGGCCATTCGAGACAAGGAAAGACCCGGTCGTCAGATTGCTACGTTTGGATTATTAGTACTGACGACGCATGGGAGTCGAGGATTGGTACGTTCCGAGGTGCACACGCGTTGCTTTGCCAGAGGCTAGGCGGCAGGTACGGGGCAGAACCCTGTAATAATGATTTGGCTTGTACTTATGAGGTCAAACTGCCATTCATTGAGTTTGCCCACCTTTGAAACGCAATTCACGTCGTGCACTTCCTTCGACATTGAAACGGGTGTGTGCGCTCTTTTATGCGGTGAGAGATGCGAGTGCGGTGGGGTGGACGAAATGGTCAGGATGTGCGGGTAGTGAGTGACCATATTCTGAAAAAACAGAGTGGATAAACAGTTCACTCGCAATTTAGGTGCACGATGAGATGCGAGGTGCAAGAATAGATCTCCTATGTAGAGCTCATGGAAAAGGTCCAGTTGAACCGGGTACAAATACCATTACACGATGCTTTTAAACTGCGAGTAACTATTCTTGCATCATGAAATGTCGACTTCCGACATAGTAATTGACAAAGGGCAGAGAGCGACCATAGTACAAATACCACTACACGATGCTTTTATTCCAGTTTAGACTTGTCTAGTTCGACCAAAAAACAAATGGCTTGTCTGGACTCGAATTCACTTGGACCAGGTCCATAAGAGCCATTGACAGTATGAGTACTATGTCTCCGCGTCTCGACATGATCAACGATTGTAATTATCCGTTGAGTCCATTAGCCTCGCAAAAGAAGTGGCTCGCCTTTGTCCCGAACGGGGGAAGAGGAAGGACTTGATTTCACTTCCAAAACTTTGTAGATAGCCGTGGACCAAAAGTTTTCAGCATTTTAATTAGAAGAAAGTCCAATTCTTTTCCTCTCCTTTTTGTGGCAACATCACCTATTTGTTTTGCCTATCTTCTCCTTCAAGCAAAAGCCATCACGTAATTCGACTCTCAACAGTCGCAGTCTTTCATGTTAGCCCCAAAATCTCAGCTCCCATGAGCTCACAAATTGGGCATAAAATCCAGCCTCCTAATCAAATCCAGCCGTACAATCACATCAGATTTCGCGTTAGGAAAGAATACCAGCACATGGCGAAAAGGAAAAACGAAAAAGGACTTCTTATTTGCGTCATCGATATCTAAATTTGACTTTAAATAGATAATATCAATCATGATACGTAGACTATGATATCGCTCGTTCGCGAGTATAGTGTAATGCGATTGGTTATGCTAATGACGTTTAGCAACCTCACTGATTTCGCAGAAGAGAAACTTGTGATGATGAGCCTCCAAAGGAGAGGGAGACTGGTATACCCATTGACTCTATGAAAGCATTTCTTGTGTTGTGTGGCAAGAAATAGGCTGAACAAAACCGACCCCCATTGAATTTGCATCACTTGCGTATCGAATACATAAAGCTTTGGTTGGTCGTGCATGCATGTCGAAAACCTCGTATCTAACACGG